AGCTTTGACTAGATCTGTTTTTAATGGGCACTACATTGTTGCCCCAGCCCCTATTTCAATTTGGCACTGAGCCTCTATGACGAGTCACTAGGTCAGTCGCCACCAATAGCCAAAACATCTGGGTTCCCATCCAGTGGTCCCTGGAGACTGTTAGCTATCGAATAGTGACAGTTAAACACCATCACTACTAATTGCCCACCCTGGTCTAAGATGGCATCCCTTTATCCTTACTGTATCCACAGAACTAAAAAAAGAAGCCTGACCTTGAAAATAGTCAGTAGATTCCTTTATTTGATCAATTTCCCCCAAGTAATACAAGAGCGCCTGTAATTCAGATTCTTTCTCCTTTACCAAACAAGAGCTCTGGTTGCAGGTATACTTGGGGAGTCTTGGGAATAGTGTATAAAAGGCCTGGACTACTGTGTTGTGCAAAGACATTTCAAGTGTCTCTTCTATGTCCAGAGGCCCTGAAGGTGGTTTGATCTTTGCTGGATTTTGAGTTAAAAGGCTCAATAGGGACCAGCAGTTAGCATAATGGCTATGTCGCTGGACTCTCACAGACTCGACTGCAGTTCGTGTCCCAGACCCGGTGGCTTAAAACTCACTCCAGGCACGTGTGCGTGCGTGCCCAAGATCCCAAGGGGAGAATGGAGGAGAAGGGATTGTGGCGTGGCCATCCCCCCTGGGGGGTGATTTCTCGCTTTCTGTCTCTCTTTCTCTCTCTGTCTGGCGAGCGCACGTGCCCTATAGCGAAAACCTCTCAAAAAAAAAAAAAAAGGCTCAAAGAACCCTGGCGGGGATGAAGAGCATTTCTGGTACTTGGTCGCTTTCTATCATGTCTTTGTGTCTTAGGACCATACTGATTTCTTAAAGCCTGAAGCGCTTTGTGGCTTTCCTTTTTATTACTTTCCCTATGTGAAACACCTCCCTTGGCTGATGGAGCAGCGAGTGCAGTTTTACCACCCCAACCAGGAGAAAGATAGTTAAGAGAGGTAAAGGAAAGTAAAACAGAGGCTCCTAACCTCGTCCTGGGGGAGAGCAGCCGGAGAGGGTCATTCCTAGGGGAGCTGGAGTCAGCTGAGACCTAAAGGAAGACCTAAAAGGGCTGGGAGTCAGGGAACGCCAGGAGAGGAGTGTTCCAGACAGAGGGAAGAGCATGCGCAAAGGCCCTCAAAGAGAATGCGCATGTGCTTGGATTTGTTTAGCTCTAGGGGCATGATCTTGTAAAAAGGAAGGTCAAGATTCAAAGCCTTCACAGAAGTTTAAAGAAACAAAAATGAGGTGATACATTAAGACGGCTTCACAGATTTACTACATTAATTTCAGACAAACTTGGCTCCACGCCCCATAAAGGACGGTTCAACTCAATCAGCCTGTGGCCACTGAGCTGTGTCTTCCCCACGTCCTCCTTTATTAGACAAGCAGGAGAAACAAGAGACAGCAAAAAGAGCTTTTATATTCAAGATGACTATCAAAGTGTCAAAGGATTTTTTTTTTTTTTGAGAGAGTTTTTGCTATAGGATGCATACACTCACTGGAGAGACAGGCAGAAAGTGAGACATCACCTCCCGGGGGCATGACCACAGCACAGTCCCTTCTCTCTCATTCTCCTCTTAGGATCTGGGGCACACACACATATGCGCCCGGCATGAGTTTCAAGCCACTGGGTCAGAGACTCAAACCGAGGTCGGCCATGTGGGAGTCCAGTTTCTTAACTACTGTGCCACCTGCTGGTCCTGGGGCTTGTTTAAAAAAAAAAAAAATCCTCAAATCTCAATAAAATGAGTTAATGCAGTATTTTCTGTGTCAAGCCCACGCCCAACTGCTGATGACACTAGAGTTTAGCCATTTCTTTAAAAAAAAAAAAAAAAAAAAGAACCCGACAGCTAAACTAAGGGAATAAAACCTTCGGTTTTTCATGACGAAGAGTGGCAAACATGGAATAGCACAAACAGTTCAGAGAGCAATGAATTAAAAAATAAAAGCAGGGGCAGAGAAATCAATCCACTTTGTATTTTTTTTTTTCAAGTTTTTAAAATTTTGCCGTAGGGCACATGTGCCTGTTGGTGGAGGGAGAGAAAGAGACAGTGAGAGGGAAGGTGAGAAATCAATCCCCAGGGGAATGATCATGCTGTAATCCCTTCTCTCCATTCTCCTCTTGGGTCTCTGGACATGCATGCACTTGTGCCAGGCATGATTTTCAAGCCGCCAGATCTGGGACTCAAACTGTTGTCGGCCACTGGGAGTCCAGCATCTTAACCACCATGTCACATGCTGGTCTCCAATAAACTCCGTATTTTAAAAAGCTGAGTAGAGGGAGAGGATGACAGGAGTCTGGTGATTTTTGTTTTGTTTTGTTTAATTTATCGGAAGGTTCACATGTTCACCAGAGAACAGAGGGTAGGGGGAGGGGATGGGATGAGAAGGTACCTCCCATAGGGAATAGTCACATCATAATCCCCTCTCCACCACCCCTCCCTCCTTTTGGGATTTTAGGCATACACACATGGACATCTGGTGTACTTCTCAAGCTGTTAGGTCTGGGACTCGAACTGCAGTTGGCCATGTAGGATCCAGCCACCTTAACCACCATACCACTGGCTGACCTAGGATTTGGTATTTTTTACATAATCTGATCATTTTAATTTTAAGAATTAAAATGGGGGCCGGCAGGTGGCGTGGTGGTTAAAGGTGCTGGACTCCCATATGGTCAAGTCCCAGACCTGGTGGCTTGCTTTCTCACTTTCTCTCTCTGTCTCTCTCTGGTCAAATTAAAATAAACAAATGGATAAATAAAGTTAAATAAAATCATTCTTTCTTTGAAAAAGAATGATTAAAA